CACTCCCAATCTTTACAACGTTGTTGACGAGAGACTTGTGGACGATAAATCCGACACCTCCTTGGGACAGATGATCGCCCTCCCGGTGATAGAACAAGTTGCCGGACTCAAGGAATACCGTATCCTCCCCCTCTCTTCGGACCTCAGATAATCCAATCCCAGCGCAACTTGTCTACCTCTTCTTCCAGCTCCAGTATCTTCTCGTCAGTCCTCAGGGTGCGTGCGTTATACGTTGCCAGGTCGAGTCGTCTTAGATGGCAACCGAACCTCCACCGGAGATTCTTAGCACCCCCTGCCCCGCTGTTACCATGGTCGCCACCGTGGCCAGGAATAGCGGGGCCGCCAGGGACTGGGGCCGTTTATTTGCGTCGTTGCTCTTGGGGGGATATTTGCCATAGTTGCCACGCTTGGTGAGCGGGTTAGCAACTGCAGTTTTTTATTATGTTATTGTTGTTATTAGGAAGATGCTGCTGCCCATCTCCTTTTTGTGTCCCTCTGTCGCCTCTTACGACACCCACGGGAAGATATGGGGTAGTGGATATTCTCAACCGCCACTACACGGCTAAGGCAGTCCGTATAATGCCGAGCATATTTAGGAAATGTGTAAACTGTAAAATAAGAGCTCCTGACTTAGCCTTCCGACCTAACCCATTTGATTCGGGTCGCTCTGAGCGGAAATGTGTATAATAGACATTATTTCACACATCCTGTTCATTTTACGAATTATATACACTTCCTAGGAATTATATATAATGATGAATTTCATAGATTTTCTGCAACATTTGTACTTACATATTATAAAATATAACATGAACGGTAATATGTTAAAACCTCAAAAAGAAAATAAAAAGACATTCCAAATTAAAATCATTTATTTAAACTTTTCTATTAAAAATGACTAAATATCATTGCTCTGTGTAGTTTCTGTTTCTTACCTTGTAAATCGCTGAGCATATTTTCTGCATGACTCTTAAATTGGACACGTATACGCATGTAAAAAAATGAATTAGCTATTTTCATGACTATAATTGTAAAATAATAACTGACTCCGTGATCGGATTGTACGTAACCAGAGGTTGAACATTCTTGTATTGGCAAATGTTTCAACAGTATTTATTTGAATTTTTAGTTACCCTGATAAAACGTGCAGTGCCAAGCTGAAAAACGATTCACGGACGCACACTAAGAAGAAAAATTATATTTCTTTTAATAGATACTTGTGTAATATTTCGATAAAAAAACACTCATTTTAATAAAACTACTTATGTTGTTTTATGGTATAGCGGGAGGCGCGTGGCTGACCCGACAGCTTCCTCATACGGCAAGGTCGCTTAGAGAGCTTGGACGGCTCCGTGGCTCAGTAGCTTAGCAATGAGTCGTAGCGCTGAAGGCCGCGGTTTCGAATCCCGCACAGTAAAAGTATTTGTATGACCTACAAGTAATTGTTCCGGGTCTGGATGTTTTTCCTTATGCAATTTTTGTATGTAAACTGCCTTCACGATATAGGAGAAAATTCAAGTGTGGGGAAACGTTTTAAAAAAATGTAATGAAGAGAGCTATTAGGATGGCTACAGTTGGGGTTGTGGTTTCCTTGCATTATGTATTTAAAAATCTGAATATCAGCAGTAGAACCGGAGTAACAGAGATTAGTAAGCTGAAGTGGGAATGGGTCGGCCATATAGCTCAAAGAACCGACAACCGATGAGGAAGAAAGGTTCTAAATGAAACAAGTTTCAAATAATTTTATATGATTTATTTTTTAACTTTTTTTACCTAAAATTTTTATTACACTTTTCCCATATTATTATAACTAAAATTTTACTTCATGGAGTATTTTTAATTTCTTTTCTTGTTGCCACTAAAAATATTATAGTATCTTCATTTATATCAGGGCGGTTCATTGCTTTAAAATTTAAAAAATAATAAAGATGTGAAAAAGCATTAAATGATACACAAAAGATGCTGAAATAAATCCGAATACGAGGGTGGATTGAAAAGTACTCGGCCTAACCAAGAAAATAAACACATACTAAATCAGTTATATTTTTATTTTTCTACATAATCACCATCAAGTTCAATACACTTTTGCCACCTCCCCTTCCAAGCATTTAGACCGTTGAAAAAAAATGATTCTTCTTTAGAGTCAAAATATGCGTCTACAGCTGCTTTGACCTCGTCGTTTGTCGAAAATCTTTAACCTTCCAAGTGCTTTTTTAGGTTAGGGAACAGAAAGAAGTCCAATGGTGCCAGATCAGGTGAATACGGCGGATGCGGTAACAGTTCAAAGCCACAGTTGTGAATTTCAGCCATTGACTGTACTGACGTGTGAACACGGGCGTTATCTTGATGAAACAGGACTTTTCTCCTGAGCATTCCTCGACGTTTTTCTTTTATTTCCTCGCGTAAACGACGTAGTAAGGTGCAGTAGTAATCAGAGTTTATAGTCTGACCCCTTTCAAGATAATCAATCATAATCACACCTTTCGAGTCCCAGAATACTGAAGCCATTACCTTATTTGCCGACAAAATCGACTTAGCCTTTTTAGGGGGTGGTGAACCAGGTCTTCTCCACTGTTTTGATTGTTGTTTTGTTTCCGGTGTACAGTAATGAACCCATGTTTCGTCCATAGTAACAAAACGATTCAAAAAATCATCTGCATCGGCTTCAAATAACTCCAAACAGTCGCGTGAAATAGTCAATCGCGTCCTTTTTTGTTCAACTGAAAGCAGTCGCGGAACCCACCTCGCAGACACCTTGTGGAAACCCAACTCGTTGACAATGATGTTTTGAGTTCGTTCATAAGAGATGCCTATAATCTCGGCTATCTCTCTAATTTTTTAATCTGCGGTCTCCCATTATTAAATCAAGTACTTTTTTAATATTTTCGTCAGTAGTTGACGTCGAAGGCCTTCCAGAGCGGGGTTCATCTTTCACACTCTCTCTACCACGCTTAAATTCTGCTATTCATTTTTTGACGGATGAATATGACAGAGCACAATTGCCTAATGTACTGACCATGTCATCATGGATGGCTTTTGATGATAGCCCCTTCTTATGGAGGTACTTAATGACGGCACGCTGCTCGATTTGCTCCATTCGCGGAAATTATGTCCGATTACTTTGTTAATAAATTTATAAAATCACAACTAATTATCGCACACGTTTCAAACTTCACACAATGAACTAGTCTGAACTGAACTAAATAATGTGAGTAGATTTGATTTTTAGAATTGAATGGATCTGTGTTAGGCCGAGTACTTTTCAATCCACCCTCGTATTAAATGTAGTGCAATAAAGATAAAAATACTTATGGATATTGAATGACTCCCATTCAATATCCATAAGTAACCTAACAAAAATGTTAAGAAAAGTATTTAAATTACTTGAAAAAGGTTCTGTCTTATCCCAAGCTATCGATTTTCAAATCCCCGCATAATACCAATCCCCAAAAATCCCTAACCAACATAAGATTCCCCGCAGTTTGGGGAATTCCCTACATGTTTGCAACGCTGAGTTTTTTTTTGGAGTTTATGGCCTGGTATCTAGACCCTTAGACCTATGTACAAAGTCTGAATGTCTCATCCTCTTAGTCATAGATAAATAAATATGTAGCAAGCTACTCTTAGTAGTCTGTGGTCTCAACTAGCTTGCTACATATTTATTTATCTATCATAGATAAATAAATATGTAGCAAGCTATTATCTATGGTCTCAACCGTCTCGACTGGACTCAACTTAGTTTGATTTAGGCATGTCGATTCACTCTTAAAAAAATCGATCTGTGAATCGATTTGAATCGAAGGTACTTGAATCGATTATCGATTAAATCGAGGATTAAAAGATCGATTTTCGATTAATCGCGACTTTTTCAAACATGAAATTTCAAGAATTTTCGATTTTTTTTCCTTAACTTCTAAACTGTTTTTTATTTATTTTTTAAATATAATATTAGTAATCTTATTGATTAACATTACTAATATTCCTTTTAACCACTCTTGGTAAGCTTGAAACGCTTGTGTTAGGAGTGGTTCGCACATACTCCACTCGATCCCTTTTTTTACAAAATGATTCCACGTAACACTTTTATTTGATATTTTAGGCTAAAAACAACAACAATACTTTAACAGAAGTGAAAACTGCAACGTACATTTCTCGATAAATCTGTTTCAATCTAATAACTCACTATTTATCATATCGAAATGAATGCTACACGAACACAATACTGGTTATTTCCTTACTATAAACCTCTATAAACTTCAACGTACGGTATAATATTTATTTACAGTATCTAGGTAAGTATTTATTTACATTAGGTAGGTAAATTACTCTGTCTGTATTTACAGCTCACAGTATGTATATTTTTGATAATAAATAATGTAAATTCACAAGTTCACAGTTCAAACAGATTCACAGCTATAATATAATATTATATTATAGTACAGGAGGTGAAATATAATATGAAAATATCGCTCGGTCGATCGAAAAAATATTTATAGTTTGGGATGTAATATATATTACATCTCAGTGGAAACGGTTCCATTTAAAAGTACGGTGAGCGCTATTAATTTATATCTCGAGATGTAATATCAATTACATTATATCCCTTAGTGGAAAGTGGGCTTAAGAATTTTAGAAATGAAAATGAAATGACAACTTTTCGATATTGTTGGATGCGTTAATAAACATTTATTTTATTCAAATATATATTGCGTTCAAATTATCAACCGAGTACGACCGGTTGTTTTTGCGCCCCCCAACAGCAAAAAATTAAAAAACTGTGGTATCTTACCCCACCCAGTTTGGGAATTTTAGCTAGTTCTTGTATCAAATGAATCGGTCCGATTCAAGAGGTTTTTAGATCGATTCAGTGAATCGATGCGGTGCTTCGAATCGATCTAAAAAATCGATAATTTTACTCCAAAGAATCGATTTTTCGATTAATCGATTTTAAATCGACATGCCTAGTTTGATTGACAAACATAATTATTTTTTTGTATAAAATGAAGCAGGAAGTGGATATTGCTCACAATAAAGTTTGTAGTGCTTGCCTTAGCTCGGATCGTGATTTAGTGTTTATAATACGTCAATCAAATATTTATCAAATATTTCGACTACTTATGTATGATATCGCGGTTGACAAGGTGAGTACATTTACAACTTTGCCGAAGTATTTCTTTTTTAATCCTGGGCACAAATTTATACAAGCCACATTTTTCTCATATCACATAATTTTTCACACACATTTTGTCACATTTAGTCCTTTTTATAACGTAAGGGTTGCTGTGACCCACAGACACATATCTACATCTTTCCTCAATAACGAATCAAAAAGGAGACGCGTTGTCACCCATTGAGACTAAGATGTAATGCCTCATTTCCAGTAAAATGGCTCTCCAGTTCTCTACACTCACCGCACAAAACACAGTATTGTTGAGCTGTTATTTTACGCTGGTATTCTGTGAGAGTGTGGTCCTTCCTCGGTCAAGAGAACCAATTAAAAACCAATTCGTCTTACTATACTACTAATATAGTTGCAACATGGCTCTGCCATGTCAAAAACACACACATATATATATATATATATATATATATATATATATATAGTGGATTTCATTAACGACCTCGGTTGTAACAACCTTTTGGTTATAGCGACATCAAACTTATGTCCCTTGAATTTAAAGCATACTTTCGTAAGAAATTCATTCGGTAATAGCGACTTCGGTTATAGCGTCAATTTCGGGTATAGCGACTTGTTTTTATGAACCATTTATGACCGATTCCTAGAAATCCCTTGTGGATATTGCGACTGAGTCGGGAAAAGGCACAAAGACTCATTCATAAAACTATTAAGCTTTCTTATCCTTTGTTTACATTCACAGATGGTAAAACTAATGCTTTGTTTGTATGTAGGACTAAGTAGCATGTTTACAAAGTTAAACTTGTGAATCAGTTACATAGCAATTCCAGTGAGTGAACAGTGTTTCTTAAACTTGTGAATATGGCTCCTAGATGTACATATACTGTTAAAGTAAAAGTGGACTTCATTTTGAGACTGCAAAATGGAGAAAACATTGTTGATCTGTGTAAACAATTTGGAGTTTCACATTCTACAATATAAACAATGTGGAAAAACCGCACTAAAATTATGGAGTGTTTTGAATCAAAATCCCTGAAAATAAAGAAAAATCGTAATCCAACTCATCAAAATATTGAAAATGCTCTCCTAGTGTGGTTTAAAGCTCAGAGAAGCCAAAATGTACCAACATTTTGCCAGACAGCTTGGGAAAACAAACTTTGTATGTTCAGAAAGCTGGATTTACAGATTTAGACAATGTCATAATATAGTGGTCGGTAAAGTTTGTGGAGAAGCTGCCAGCATGTCGCAAAATGAGTGTGACAATTGGTTGAGAACAGTTTTACCAAAATTAACTGAAGGGTATACTGACAGTCACAGAACAAGATGAGACGGGATTATTTTTTAATTTGACTCCAGATAGTACACTAAAATTCAAAGGAGAAAAGTGTGCTGGCGGCAAACCATCAAAAGATAGAATAACCGTGCTTGTTGCTTCAAGTATGGCAGGCGAAAAACGAAAATTGCTAGTTATAGGGAAGGCGAAAAAACCAAGGTGTTTCAAGAATGTAAAAACTTTGCCAGTTGATTACGAAGCCAACAAAAAAGCATGGATTACATCGGAGATTTTTGAAAAAGTTTTACAGAAATGGGACTCTCAGCTAAGAGGAAACAAAAAGAAGATCGTTTTATTTATTGACAATTGTCCAGCTCACCCACAAATTTAAAATTTCACTAACATCAAACTGGCATTCTTGCCACCAAACACCACATCAGTTATTCAGCCTATTGATCAAGGTATAATTAAGACTCTTAAAAGCCATTATCGAAAGCTTCTAGTGGAGAAAATGGTAAACGACATTGAAAAAAGTACTACCCCATTTGCTGTCAACCTTCTGGATGCCATTGAAATGATAACAACAGCATGGGCACGAGTTACTCCAGATACAATTAAAAAATGTTTTTGAAAAATGGCGAACGGTCGAATGGTTAACACGTACTTGTGAGTGCTTTTCGGTATTTGGTTAATTTTCCTTAATTCCTTCATTTTGTGGTGGTGGATTCCTCTGTTGTAAGTAGATTACGTTTATAAGATATAGTTATTTCGAACAATACACTCAATTATGGGTGACGAAACGGGGGTCTCCCCGTGAGAAACCCCCTGACCCTCCCGATGTAGACATGTGCTTTGGATTAAGTGATAATAATGATTGTGATTGTGGTAAAAAAAGACATGCTGAGACTCGAACATATGATCCAATATTATATAAAAAGAATTCTGTAGTTGATTTAACAGCATCAGTAAATACTATATATAAACATCCGTGCCTAGAACAAAATCTTAGAATGTATGGGCCAAATGATCAAGGCCCTTTCATTGTCCACATCTCCCGGTCTTCGTCAGACCCTAGATTAGGGCTATCACTTCGACCTATTAAAATAGGTTTATGCTTGTCTAAAAATAATATAGGAAACATTAAAAAAGGAGGAGTCAAAAGTGTTGGTAGAAATCGCATCTCTATTGAATTCTGCTCAGCAGATGAGGCTAACAAATTCCTTAATAATTCATTGCTCGCAAAAGAAAAATTGATTGCAACTATTCCATCTTATAATGTTTCTCGAATGGGTGTCATCCGCGGTGTCCCTGTGGATTGGTCAATGGAAGAACTTGCAGAAGCTATTGAGCTTCCCCCGGGTTGTGGTAAAATCCTAAAAGCTCGCTGTCTTCAGAGAAAAACTTTTACTGAAGGGTCATCATCCCCTATATGGGTTCCTACTCAATCTATTGTTTTGACATTTGAAGGCCAGATACTCCCCAAATACGTATATGCATTCTTCACATCCCTTACTGTTGAAACTTATCAACTCCCCACCATCCAGTGCAAACAGTGTTGTCGATTTGGCCACGTAGCTGATCAATGCCGCTCCAAACCACGCTGCTTCCGTTGTGCCCAAGAACATACTGGAGCAAGTTGTTATGTTCCTGAAAGCGAGGCCACTTGTCTCTTATGCTCCAAAAATCACTTTGCTAATAACAAAAATTGTCCAGAACACCATAGACAGAAATCTATCAAAGTTGATGTCAGAACAAAATGTATCCTATATAGAAGCGTCAGCCAAAATCCCATCTATTCGTTTGAACAATCTTCAAAAACCATATTCTGAAGTGGCCTCTACTCAGCCTTCACCTACTTCTACTACCTCCTTCAACCTCCCCATCATGTCACAGGCATATAGAAAAACCGTTTTCCAATCTCCCCGCCCCATCCCTAGAATCCCCAAGGGATATGACCAACAAGCCCATCAAAGAATAGTTGCAGACTGCCCATCCTCTACTCCAAATGGATGCGCATTATCCAATACACACAATCAAATATCTCCAAATGAAAATCTTAAAACACACCACCAAAAAGTTTTTTTTTTTTTTTTTATTATAAAAAAAAATGGGGGTGGTTTTTTTTTTTGTTGAATGCCTAATTTCTCTACTCAATAATTTAATTTTGAAAATGTCAGACTCACTACCGAACAACGTTGCAGAATTTTTTTTTAATATTGCTAGTTTAATAGATAATATAAATGACTCAAACAAAAGACCTCCATCTTCTACAGTGGAACTGTAGAAGCTTGCACCCTAAAAAATCAGAACTCATCTTCCTAATAAATAAACATTCAATCTCGGTTGCTTCTATTTCTGAAACATGGTTCCTTCCTGGCTCCAAATTTCGCTTGCAAGGCTTTACCTGCCTCCGTGAAGATAGAAATGATGGTTATGGTGGTTGTTGCTTACTCATAAAAAATTCGCTACCTTTTTCTCAAATTACACTCCCTCCTCATAGCCAAAACATCAATGCTGTAGCTGCAAAAATTGCAGGAATCAGCATTATTTCAATATATATCCCTCATCCAAATACTCACTTAATTCAAGAACTATCCTCTCTCTTTTCTTTGTTACCTCCCCCTTTTATTATTACCGGTGATTTTAATTCACATCATGTATCTTGGGGGTCACATTTTTGTGATGTATTCTCTTCAGAACTTATTCAAATTTTTGAAGATATCAATGCTTGCATCATTAACAATGGTTCCCCTACTCATAGAGTATATCCAGGACTAGACCCTAGGTCTGATGTCGACCTAACAGCTTGCTCTTCTAGTCTAGCCCCTCAGCTTTCTTGGAAAACTCTTAATCAAACATACGGAAGTGATCACTTTCCCATTCTTATTACCAAACCCTATGCGGTTATTCCTTTTCCCTCCACTACGCCCCTCCTTAAATATAAGCTCCAAAATGCAGATTGGACTAATTTCACTAAATTCTTAGATTCTAAATTTACCCAAATGCAGGTTGACTCCTCAACCAACCCAATAACTTCTTACTCTTTATTGGTACAATATATAACTGAAGCAGCTGACTTATTTATCCCAATCAAAAAACCCTACAGCAAGAACCTTGCCTCCCCTCCATGGTGGGATGCTGAATGCACCACTATGATTAAAAGGAGAAAAGCTGCAGAAAAACTTTACAATCACTGTATGACAACCGATAATTTTATACTATTTCAAAAAACCTCTGCTCAAACAAGGAGACTTCTTTCCAAAAAGAAAAAAAGTGGATGGAAAAAATTTTGTGAATCCTTGTCCCCTAATACACCAGTAACAATAGTTTGGAAAAATATAAAAAAAAATTCGTGGATCTCTTACTTCTGATAGCAACATTTCTGATAACTCTCTATCATGGTTAGAAGTCTTCTCTGATATGCTAGCTCCTCCTTTTGTTCCTAATGAAAATGCAATATGTCCACCGATTCCAGTCCCGTCTAGCATCAACAATAATGAGTTAATCTTCTCATTGTCTGAACTACAGTCTGTGTCATCTGGCTTAAAATCCTCTGCTCCAGGAGAAGATGGCATACCCTATGCATGTTTATGTAAATTAAGTCTTAAGGGAAAATTAATTCTTCTCCAAATTCTGAACAATATCTACATATCTTCTAATATTCCTCTGTCTTGGTCAAACCAAATTGTTATACCTATCCTTAAACCCGGAAAAGATCCCAAAGAAGCTTCTTCATACCGCCCAATTGCTCTTTCATCTACTTTTTGTAAAATTTTAGAACATTTAATTAAAAACAGACTTGAATGGTTTTTGGAACATAATAACATCCTTGCAAAAAGTCAATTTGGTTTTCGAAAAGGGAAAAGCACATTAGATAGTTTGAGTGTCCTAACTACAGATATTAGGTTGGCTTTTTCTAAAAATGAATACTTGGTGTGTTGTTTCCTTGATATATCATCTGCCTTTGACAGTGTTCTCCTTCCGGTGCTCAGGCAGAAAATGCTCCATCTAAACATCCCTGCGAAGACTGTTCACTTCATTTACAATCTATTCATGGGACGATCTATCAAAATTCGCAATAAAGGAATCTTAAGCTCGCCCAGAACAATTTGGAAGGGTCTACCACAGGGCTCAGTTTTAAGCCCTATTCTTTACAATATTTACACATATGACCTGGAACATTCAATTTCGTCTTTCTGTGACATATTACAATATGCAGATGATCTTGCTATCTATGTAACGGCTCCTGATATTCTAACGGCCTCCCATCGTCTTAACAGAGGATTATATTATCTTAATCAATGGCTTACTGACCATGGCCTCTCTCTTTCACCTTCTAAAAGCAAAATAATAACATTTAGTAGAAAACGTGTTATCCCTACTATTGATATCTCATATAATGGTGAATCTATTCCAGTTGTTAACAAAGTAAAATTTTTAGGTATTTACTTAGATTGTCATATGACCGGTACTGCTCACTTTAATTACATCAGTGACAAATGTGAAAAAGGTGTTAACATTCTTAGATCTCTCTCTGGCGTATGGTGGGGTTCTCACCCCATGTGTCAAAAAATCCTATACAATGCCATCATCCGTAGTCACTTCGACTATGGTTCTTTTCTCCTGGAGCCCTGCAACAAATCGGCCCTTAGTAGGCTTGAAGCTATCCAAACAAGATGTTTACGTGTTATCACAGGCGCAATGAAATCAACTCCTAAAAATGCCTTACAAGTAGAATGTGTTGATCCCCCTCTCTCTTTATGAAGACAGTTTCTAGCTGATAGATTTATCTCAAAAACTCTACAACTATCATCTCACCCCTTACATCGTAAACTAGAATCCTTGCTACTATTAGTTGTAAACAACTCCTATTGGTCTAATAAAAGCTGGCCCCCTATTCTTAAATCTCTTAATAGATTAAAAAATATTGAGTATCCTTGTGTTACATCCCCAATTCTACCCTATTTTGAAACCAGCTATGATGCTATATTACTAAATCCTAAAATCACTTGAATTTAAACATTAATAAAAATTCTCCAACTGCAAACAGAACTTTCTATAACCTAGTGGCAAAAAAATGGCCTGATTGGCTATATATTTTTACTGATGCTTCCAAATTGTCTTCATTCAAATGTGTCGGTTCTGCAGTCTGGATTCCCAAATATAAAATTGTCCTTAACTATAGATGCCCTCCTCAGGCTTCTGTTTTTACAGGGGAAGCTGTAGCCATATATGAGGCTATATCCTACATTTTTTCCCATAAAATTCCTAAATCAGTTTTATTTACTGATTCAAAAAGCTGCCTAATGTCGTTACAGAGCAATATATCTAAAATGAAATCCATCTCCCCATTGATACTGAAAATTAAAGAACTCATACTAAATTGTAATAAGAGTGGGCTTGAGGTAGAGATTGTGTGGATTCCTAGTCATTGTGGCATAGAAGGAAATGAACAGGCTGACTCCTGGGGGGCGGTAGAACTGGCTGCCCTTCTCATTTAATGAATTACTCTCATGATTTAATATCATTAGCTCAAATTGAATTAAAGAATTCTTGGGACAGAGATTGGAGCATATCCAGACATAGTAAAGGTAGCTACGTTGGTAAAATCCAACCCCAAATTCCTCCAAAACCTTGGTTTTTCAAATTTAGGTTTCTGAACAAACAAATCACATCTACAATCTGTCGTTTAAGGCTCGGGCATGTCTGCACTCCTGTATTCCTAGCTAAAATTAGAATCAAAGATCATTCCCTCTGTGAATGTGGTCTGGATGAAGGTTCCCCAGACCACATTTTCTTCAGTTGTCAAAATCACCCAATTTCTTTATATGACATCCTTCCCAAAACAATCCCTCGACCAGTTAATATCAATTCCCTCTTAACTATCCCCGATTCCATATATGTCAATACAATCTCAAAATATATTCGAATGTATAATATTAAAGTATAATTATTGTGTACTAAATTTAGCTTAACCTAATTCTATATTCCCTGCCCAGGCTAATACCCTCCTTTAACTAGATTTTTACTCTCTATGGTGTGGTCCTCAATTCATATATTTAGTTGCTTTGTTTTTATCCACATTCTCACCTAATAACCACTAACTCCTTTTCCACCGGAAAGCCTCAAGACAAGGTGTGACAGACCGAAGACCGGACATTGGCAGAATTATTGTGACATTATCACAATACCAAGGGCCATATAGTTATTAAAAACAAAATGTTTTTCATATGCTGGCTTTGGGAAATTTTCGAATTTAAATACAACTGATGATGATTCTGATGATGAATTGGACAATTTGCCATTGGGGAGATTATCATCAGCAGAAGCAACAGTTACGGATTGGGAAACTTATGTGAATATTGACGATCAAGTTATCACTACTGATAACTTGACTGATAATGAAATTATTGAGTCTGTGCTTCAAACACAAGAAAAGGAGGATGAAGAAGAGGAAGAAGATTCCAATCTAAATGAGATCCCAACAACTAGAGATGCATTATGTGCTATAACAACACTCAAAAAGTACTGTTTATTTGGTGAGGGCCAAAATAATTTAGATGTTGAAGGAATTATGAAAATGGAATACACCTTACAGCGTGCACAAAAAACTAAACTTAAACAGTGCATTATAACACATTTTTCAATAACACCCGTGTATAACATAATTAAATAAATGATAAGTAAATATGTATATGACTTTTTATTACTTCGGATATAGAGACCTCCAGATATAGCGACATTAAAGTGGTCCCTCCGCCGTCGTTATAACCGAAATTCACTGTATTACCATAACTTTACCATGCATGGCAAGCGGGTTGGTAAACGCAGTTTTTTATTTTTAGTCGTGACTGGGAAGATGCTGTTGCCCACCTCAGCACCATCTTCCTAATAATGACTAAAGATATAATTTTGCAGTTGCCGACCTGCTTGCCAGGCATAGCAACTATGGCAAAATTCACAATGAGGCAAGTCTTGACGGAAGCTTGTGTTCAACGGTGGGCTTTTATAAGCTGTAATGGAATGGAAATAAGGAAGGCTAGGGCTACTTACAATAAAATCCACCCTTTAATTTGACTAAAACCAAGTCATATCACTGATTTAATAATATTAAGCAAATATTGCAAATGTTGAAAATATTGCAATAAAAATAAAACATGGCACTTTGATTCTTATGCGATGGTAGACTTGGATGTTTGTGGGCAACAGGCTTCAATTACCATCAAGTGTTTTGTGTGCTTGTTTGTCACCTTTACTTCTATAAAATAAAATACTATGCATCTGTTTTTCAGTTTGTAGAATCGGAAGAAACATTACAAGTGTGTTGGGAATGCCTTGCTCTATTACGGAGGTTTGATAAATTCAAGAAGCAAGTTCACACCGCCCAGGAAACTATCCTTACCTTAAAAGAGAACCATGAGGTATGCTTTCCATCTTTTTCCTCAGCCCATAAAAGTCTACAACTGGAATTGAGCCTTTCTCGTTATGGGAAGGCTTGGTCTTAACTAGACATGTGTCATTCATTTGTAGTGACCCGATTATTCAAGTATATATCGTCTTATGAACCGGGTCATTCGGGATGAAAATACATAATATGGATCATTTCGAGTTTCAGTAGTCTGTGAATGTCAGTCGTCAGACATTACTACACTATCTGTACCTGGATATCTAGATGTAACCTAGGTCATATTAACAAATCATTCACAATATTGACACATCTTATTTTAACAGTCGCCAATTGTATTCAATTGGTGACTTAAGATTAGATTTGACTCGATTTTAGATCGCAGCACTGACGACACGTCACACACTTTTCATGCTGCTACCTGTTGCCTGTTGGTTAATTTAAGCCAGGTGTAAACAATTGGTTTTGCCCTCATTTATCAGAAGCCATTCTGTGTATGAGAGAGCCGTGCTGCATCTGTATTATGGTTGTAGAATAAATGGGTTGACTAGACTGCTGTATTTCATCTGGTAGGGAACCAGAGACAAGTTTTACTGGAAACTAAGCATTCTGTCTTAGTATTCGGGGGTGACAATGTGTCAGCACTTTGATTCTTATAGTGGAGGATAGATGAAGGTGTATGAGCCACAGAGTAACATCAGGTGAGCTTGTTATTGTTATGTGCTTGTTAGTCACCCTTTTTCAAAAAAAAAAAAATGCTGTAACATTTTGGCATTTTCCTCAAGCACCCACTGGATAATATGGAGTGATGGATTCCCTTATGTTGCCCCCACTCGGCTTTCATCATTTGTCATTCTCTATTGATATTTCTATTCATTAGGCAATAAACACTTGCGTACAATTCCATGAGACTCAACAGCGTGCCTTATTTTCATTTATCATTCATGAAAATATTTACTTGATTTGATGAACAGTTTCCCATAGAATAGAATATATAATTTATTCAATATAGATTATTACATGATTCTTAAGTTACAGCCTATATAAGTCCTACTGCTGGGCACAGGCTTTCTCTCATTTCTGTGAGGGTTTTAAGGCAAGGGAATGTCCGATTGGCGAACTTCTGATGTCTTTGAAAGCTTATTGAAAGTAAATTTTTTATTCACAATAATAGTTGCCTTCTATGTATGAAATTAGAGATGGGCCAAATATGGATTTCACCAAATACGAATATGCGGCCGAAAGTTCGGTAAAACATTTACTGAACCAAGTATTCAGCTGAAAATTATTTGGCAGGATCACCTCGGTACCTAACCAATTTATGTCGAAACTTGTTACTGTAAAACGCACGGGGTTAGCACCGGATTCTGCCCCTCGTTCCCCCGCCACATCTGACATGTTATTGCGTTATCTAGTACTGAGAAAATTGCCAGCAAATGCTTATGTTTTGTCTATTTTTGTGAGAAAAAAGTATTCTGTTGTGTTATTCTCAGTGAATATTGATAATTATATGATAAAAATAAGTATGAGGAGATCAACTATTTGTAATTATTTTAGTGAAACTAACGACCAAATGTGAAATGTACTATGTGTGTAATGAAATTCTTCTTTGTTTGAATCCAAAAACATTTTATCAAGCTTTCTATTTGCTATAATTGGAAATAAAATCAGTAGTGCCTCAAAATCATAACGCCATACAAATTGATTTAACCCATAAATAAAATATACTCTTAACACCAAAATTATGAAAGATGGCATTACTCAATTCGTATATTTCAATACAGTGCACACTTTGAGTACCACTTTAACAAATGTTCAGTGATTTAGCCGAATATTCCGCCGAATACGAATATTCAGCAAAGCTGCTGAATATGCCGAACACCGAATATGAAACGAATATTTGGCCCATGTTTAGAAAATACGAAGTGTAGATGAGATGGACTTTTTAAATTTATGAAACGCCAGTTGTATAATATCACTTGGTAACTTATTGAAAATATTTTTTTGTTTTTCAGAATACAGACCATACTTGTAGTGTTTTGCAATCTCTGTCAACGTTGGAACCTGCAGTTAAGAATGACTACGACTTTTGTTACGACAATACGAATAAAACTCATACGGAATGGACACCAAAGATTGTTGCCGTGAGCTTTAGAGACAACATTAAGTATGAGCCGAACGATTATGAGCAGATGTTGGGAAGTGAGTATTCCATAAAATATTATTTCTATGGAAAATTGGGTGACAAACAACCAACAAGTCCACTTGATGGGAAGTGGATCCAAACCTGTTCATGCTACAACCATAATAATAATAATAATAACCATTCCGTATGACGAGAACCTCGTGAAAGCCGAAACAGATAAGCAAACAAAATATCTGGACCTGGCTCACGAGGTGACCGACATGTGGGGTGGTCTGCCGACCGAAATTATTCCTGTAGTCGTCTCTGCAAATGGGCTAATTCCAGTCAGCCTCTCGGGTCATATGAGGTGGTTGGGACTACGTGGCGGACCGCTCCAGGCTCAAATGCAGAAGGCGGTGCTCCTCGATACTGCCCGCATCGTCCGCCGGTTTCTTTCCTTTTCCCCCTAACCCTCGGCCGTTTGGTCTCCGCAGGGGAGAGGGGAGAGTTGGGCTCAATAAAACCTCCATCTGGTTGGGCTTTTATTTATTTATGTATTTTTATATTTATTGATTTTCATTTCCATTTATAATTATATATTTATAGAACCCAACCAGATGAGAAAACTATATAGATACCCCATAATAATAATGTCCTCCAGACCGAATTTCGGCACCGGCGGCCTGCCTCAACGGAGGATAGCCATCGGCGCAGGACAGAATTATAGTGCCCAAGTGTATGCGCGAGCACAGGTGCACTCTTTATTCCCTCACTCTCATAATCCGATGGGACGGTAAACTGACACGACCGGAGTGAGATCAGGTGCAGTACCAACGGCTTTACGTGATTTTCCGAGGCACGGGGGTGAGACACCGCCAACTTCCTGACTCCGGGCAGCTACTGAGAATTTCTTGACAGAAAAACTCAATAATTGATTTTTTGGCCCGACCCGGGGGATTCGAACACAGGACCTCATGATTAGCAGTCGAACTACTACAACCATCAGACCAACGAGGCTACAACTATAATATAGCTGCGGCGTGACTGTTAACACTTTGTTTTCTTATTTATATGATAAGGTTGACAAACAAGCACACAGTCCAATTGATGGTAAGTGATTGCTGTGGCCCATAGATCTATTCTCGATCACGAATCAAATTGCGAATGCATTGTCACCCGTGAGGACTAAGAGGAAATGCTTCGTTTCCAGTAAAAATGGTATCCAGTTCTCTATACTCACTGTATGAACTACATCAGTGTTGAACTGCTATTTTATATTGGTATTCTTTGAGAGTGTGGTACTTCCTCAGTCAAGATAATCAATTTGTCTTACTAAACTACTAATATTGTTGCAACATGGCTCTGCCATGTGAAAAACATATATATTTTATTCTTAACTTTACTACACTATTAATATTATTACGTGGGGGATGAGTAAAAATGCCGATTAGCTTTAAAAATGATGTAATTTTCCACACACACACACACAGCAAATGTATAAATACGTCGTCAAAAACCGCCAAGCTTCTTCGGTGAGTTTCTTTATAATTGCAGATGTTGTAGGTCGAAATATTAGAAACAAAAATAAAGAAATGTTGTTGTGTCAAAAACATTAATCGAAAGTTTAAAATGTGTAAATCGCTCAGTCTGTCAACACAGCGAATCGGGTTTGTAGTAGTGATAATACGACGAATTGCTTGTATGTGTGCTCTCGGCGACACCGATCCTCGTACAAAATAAGGTTGACAGCCATTCAATATACAATATATTATAGTATTCTATGTTTATACCAATTCATTTTATTACTTATATAGGAAACATTCTCGTGCAATGTGACGTAATATGCAACTGGCTGTCGTAACAATATTCTATTGATGTTTCAAGGTATGCAGATGCCTGAGAATTCCAACACAATAGTAACACCTCAAACTTCGATGAATCAGGAACCTTTAAAAATTGAGGAGGAGCATAATGGAGATGAAACAGTGTTACCAAATGTCACAATGAGGTATGTATAGCATTTAACCTTAAACATCAATACCAAACTATCAGATTCTTATTAACAGAATATTTTTGTTGTTTTATGTATAAAAAATGGTATGCGAGATGATGTTGTGACCAGGATTAAGAAAGAAATGCTTCGGTGGTTTGGTCATGTAGAAAGAATGAATGAGAAAAGAGTGACAAAGCAAATTTAAATGGCAGATGTGAACGGCAGAGTCGGGAAGGGATGCCCGAGACGTAAGTTTATCAACCAAATCGGTGATATTTTGAAAATGGGCCACATTAGAAGTACCCTTAACCAACGAGCATGTATGCGTAGATATATGGATGTAAAGGAGGCGAGAGAGGTATGATAGGATTGTGCCCAATGGCAGTCTGTAGTCTCAGCCTACCCCTCTGGGTGACAGGCGTGAGTGTTTATGTATGTTATTTTCTTTTTTCCTTCCAAACCGTTACTTTAGTTAGTTAGTTAGTTTACGACGAGCTGTTTTCCGCAACTCCACGTCTAAGCGCGTATTTTGCGTGTGGGCAGGAATAATATGCTTATTCGAGCCATGATATCTCCCCGAAGAAGCTCAACAGTCCCTTGATGTTGCAAGTAACTTCGGGGAGCGATCCCGGCGTGCCGAGATGTTTAGCCCTGTATGAAGCGACTTCTGGACATGTCAGCAACACGTGAGCCGCCGTTTCTTCCTCTCCCATGCATGCTCTGCACAGGGGGCTGTTAGTAACACCTATGGTGAACAAATGTTTGTTAAAAGAGCCATGTCCTATGATAGCACTTGTTACTATCCTGATCTGTGGCTTGTTCAGTCTCATTAGAACCTTGGTTAGACGACTGTTTATTTCAGGTAGGGCCTCCCTAGCTTGTCTACAGTCTACAAAATTTTTCCAAAGCTGAGCGTGTAAATTATTGAAGTATCTACGTACCAGTGAACTAACATAGCCAAAGGGGATTGGTATTATTGGTTCCGGCCCTATAGTTGCTAGGGCCGATCCCCTTCTGGCCAGTTCATCTGCTGCATCGTTGCCTCTAGATCCACTGTGTCCCTTGATCCATTGCATAGTCACATTGTTGTGCTTACATACCTCATTCAATCGTTTATGGCACTCATATATCAGTCCCGAGTTCGTGACATTGCAACTCAGTTTGTAGTACCGCCATACTGTCGGTCAGTATTCTGATGGAGAAGTCTTTCACCTTCCTAGCATCTATTGCTATGGCCGCTTGGATGATACCCATGCATTCAGCCTGGAAGACTGTGTTGTGGGTACCCAGCGGTGTGCATATGTGGATATTAAGGTCTTCAGAGAAAACCCCAGACCCCACACCTTCATTTGTCTTAGAGCCATCCGTGAAAACTTGAGCTCTCTTGGACCCAATCCTTCCAGATGGTCAGTTTCCTTCAATTATATCCTGTACTTCTTATCAAATACAAATTGTTTTGGGAACCTATCATACTTGGCTTGTAAGATAGGAATTTTTGAGTAAATTCTATCGATTATATCTGTATGGGGGACTTTACTCTTACTTAAAAGATTTAGGGTCTTGAGTCTAATGGCAGCTAAAGTTGCTTCTTGTTGTATATATAGATGAAGCGGTGTTAGCTCCAGCATAGCCTCCAAAGCTGCTGTTGGTATTGTCCTTATGCAGCCCGTGGCAGCCATACAAGCTAATCTCTGGTAACGCTGTAGCTTTTGTATAGTGGTGGCTTCATTGGTTTTGGTCCACCATACCAGAGAGCCGTATGTGATCATGGGCCGAATTACAGTTTTGTACAGCCACAGTATAATTTTTGGCGTTAAACCCCATCGTTTGCCAATCATGTTTCTGCACTGCCAGAAAGTTAAACTAGCTTTGCTGATTTTGTTTTCTATGTGTTTGTTCCAGTTTAGTTTACTGTCCAAGGTAAGACCTAGGTATTTTACCTCGGAAGAAAATTGGAGTTTTGTGGAAGATGATAGTTATTCAGCATTCGTTTTTGTGTGAACATTACTATAACCGTTTTATTTGGATTAACAGTTAGGTCATATTCCCTGCACCATCTCTCCACAATACGGAGAGCCGCTTGGGTCAGGTTGCACACAATGCTTGCTGTCTTACCAGAGACCAGTATTGTCAGATCATCTGCAAAACTGACTGTGTAGAAATGATTAGCGTTTAATTTGCTGATGAGCTCATTAATGACCATATTCCACAGGAGAGGTGAAAGAACCCCACCCTGCGGGCATCCTTTCATGATCTGAATTGTCTGAGATTCACCAGCAATCTTTATCGTTCGTGTACTGAGCATGTTTACAATCCTTTTATGCTGGAGAAATTTGTTCTGTCAAAAGCACCTTCTATGTCTATGAAGGAGCCTAAACATATTGCTTTGTTTTGGATGGCCTCTTCAATCTTTGTTATTACCTGGTGAAGTGCCGATTCTGTTGATTTACCTAAGCTATAGGCGTGTTGGTTTTCGTGTAGCGGTAAGTTAATTAGCGCCGACCCTCTCAACTCCCGTTCACACATCCTCTCCATCGTCTTTAGGAGAAAGGATGTGAGGCTAATAGGCCTATAGGATTTAGGGTCTGTATAGTCGTTCTTACCTGGTTTGGGTATGAACGTGACTTTCACTTCCCTCCATCCCCTAGGAACATATTTAAGAGCCAGACATGCTCTCATTATGGCAACAAGTCTGACTATTAGGACTTTACCCCCCCACTGGAGAAGTGCCGGGAATAAGCCGTCAGGTCCTGCTGCCTTATAGGGTTGGAAACTATGAATGGCCCAATGGATTTTGTCCATCATCACCACTCTTTGTGCTAATTTCCAGTCTTCATTTGTTGGTGTCAGTGCATCTTCATGCCGGTTCACCTTTTCAACTACACAGCAACCTGGGAAGTGAGTATCAATTAGGATGCGTTGGGTTTCATCCGGCGATGTTGAGTAGCGTCCGTCGGGTTTCTTTAAAGAGATAGATCCCGGCGTGTTCTGTTTAGCTAGGATTTTCCTTATCCGATTTGCTTGTTCACAGGTTTCTATGCTACCACAGAATTTGCGCCACCCAGTCGAGCGTCGATACCTGACACATTTTTTTGTATTCAGACTTAGCTTTCTTATATAGAAGCCAGTCTTCATTCTTTGAGGTATTCATTGCCCTATTTAGGGCTTTTCTTACCTTCTTACGTTTCTTGTCTAGTTCTTTACCCCACCACTGTTCCTTTTGCTCAGCATGTTTTGGTCGAGTGATTACTGGACATGATTCATGGTAGCTATCGTCGCTTTAGTGACAGCTGCTACCTGTTCTTCTAGGAGCGTTTGATCTGCTATGGTATTAGTTCCCCCAACACCCGCGAGCGAAGACGTCAGCCTATTGAGGTATTTCGTTTTATCCGTCTTGCAAGGATTTCTCCATGGTGGTATAGCGGGGATTTCGACCTATAGTACGCAGCAGATCCATCTGTGGTCTGAGCATGAGGCCTCTTTCGACACATGCCATCCCGTTATTAGCTTAGCTGCTCCTTCTGTTGCAAGTGTGAGGTCGATTATTGTGCGACAGCGTTTATTTATGAAGGTTGGTTCAGAACCAGTGTTTAATATGGTTAGGTTAGTGCTAAATAAATATTCAACTAAAACCTTACCTCGTTCATTAGGTTTTTCCATTCCCCAAAGGGAATGATGCGCGTTGGAGTCCGTCCCGATCACAACCTCTAGTCCGGCCCTCTCACAGAAATTCACCAGCCTGACGAGGTCGTGAGGGGGAGGGGTGTCTTCCTCAGGCATGTAGACCGAGGCCACGACTAACCTTTCCTCCTGTGTGTTTTGTAATGCTACGGCATATGTGTCTCTGGAACAGAAATCTGTTAGTGGTTTTGCACAGATATCTTTAGTAGTATAAATAATACACGCTCTAGGCTTGTCGTGCTCAGAGTTGTAGAATAACTTACCTCTTAGGTTGTTTAGGCCTTTAATTTTACCAGCCCCAACCCATGGCTCTTGGATTAGGGTTATGGCCGTCCTTTGTGCCTCCAACCACTTGCGTAATTGAGCCGACGCAGTTTCGCTGTGGTGGAGGTTGGCCTGCACTAGGCTAGTTTTGGACGAAGGGCACGCCATCATTGATCGCGTCCTCCCCGTCCCCGCCCAAAAATAAGCCTGCCAGAAGATCTCGGGTCTCTTCGTCAGCCACCGAGTCGGAAGTGGTCGGCAAAATGCAGTCCTCTTCGTCACTCAGTGAGCTGCCGCTGAGCCCGATCTCCACTGGTGGCTTTGCCTCAGTTGTGTAGGCCGTTTTTTCACTGGACTTGGCCTCCAGTGATTCCGCTGTACCGGTAACCGTGGCTCCGGTATCCATAACTTCCGGGCTGTTTTCTACCTCTTTGCTCGGTGGAGTATCAACGAATTTACCTCCACGACCCTGGAATTTTACGTATACCGCCCCTCATACGCATGCGAGACGGCGTCCGGCCTTCATCAGGGTCGGGATGTGATCCTCCGGCACCGAAACAACGAGGAACCACCGGTCCGTCTGCTTATCAGCCTTGAGTAACAGCCAGTCCCTGATGTTAACCCATCGGTTCTGGTACGCCAGCACGCGACCAATGTCACGTGAGTCTTTCCAGGCACCTTGGGCATCAGGGATAAGGATACCACATTTGATTCTTTGTGGTATCTCTGACTGTTTCTTAATAGTCAGCGAGGTGTTGGATTTGAGGTCGAGGGTATTAATATTCCCCTTCAACCAGTCCAGAGCCTTCTGGTCATCGCACCACAGCTTTAGGACACCCTCCGTGTAAACGGGTTTGCCTCTAAAAACCTGGCCCGACGCATCAGGGTCCTGGTTACTCCAGGCCTCGCTGATCATCTTCCTCTGTATGGCCACGAGGATGTCATCAGCTATCTCCTTTGTTATGTGACCTGAACGCGCACACGTTAAGGCCACACCCAAATCTGCTTTAGCAGCAGAAGCGTAGCTTGTTCTTGCAGCCTTTGTTTGCTGTTCAAGTCGCACTTTTTTGTGCTCTCCTCTCGGCGAGGTGGACTCTTCCAGCAATCTTTTGGCTGCTCTTTCCTTCTTTCCAGGACGCTTGGCTGCTCTCTGGTTCCTGGCGGATTTCTTAGAGCTGGTTCCGGCGGCCGTGCCTACTGCTCGGGCACCGCAGTAGCAGTAGCTTGCCCAGCTCCCTGAGTCTTGCTCTTGGAAGCAGCGAGCGCGGCTCTTTCTCTGCGGCTTTTTTCTCGCTGCTTCTTATTCTTCTTTTTGAACTTTGCGCTACTGCCTACTACTAACTACCGCTACACCTGATGGTGCGTCGGGTCGGCAAGTCACCATTTTGGGTGCCTTGCGCTTCCCCTTACGGCTTACCACTTGCCAGGCTGCGGAGAAAAGGTCTTCGGTCCTTTGGGGCTCCGCAGGAGTTTTGCTACTCGCGGCCCCTTGCTCATTTTTCTCGTCCAGCTCCTTGGATTTGGAACTGGATTTAGAGACATCCAGCGCGGAAATTGCCCCCTTGGTGGGGCCACCTACGCTGGGTGGTACAATCAGTGGAACGGCCGGTTTAACGGCGGTTCCTTCTGGTTTATCAGTGTCTAAGGTAAATACCTCTGACACTTCTCCTTCTCTACTAATGGGCTTTGTGTTGTCCATAGTTTTGACATGTGTAAAAATTCGTCCCCCCGGCTTCCCACCCTCCATGGAGCCCGCACCTTTGGGAACGCCCTACTTTTACCGTTAACCGTTACTTTATTCTCTTGTTAAGCATTGGGTCTTTGAAATTGAAGTTCTTTGTACGGAAATATTGAAATAATTTAGGAAAAACGTTAACTAATCTAAATATTTGCCTTAACTATATTACTGCCGTACAATACTTTATGCTTGTTCTGACTTGAATTTTATATAAAGTTGGGCGTGAAGTTTCGTTTGTTTAAAATACCCAGTTTTTTGGCCGCAGTTTGTGCTTTCGACTCAATGTTAGTGCCAAAGTTGAGGATATCACTCAACTGTATGCCGAGAAGTTCGAGATGATCAGTTGTCCACCACACTGTCGTCACCTCATTGGGAGACAAGACTTAAAGTCGCATTTATCGGCTCCACCATGGCCTCTGAGTGAATGTATTACCACCTCCCGTCTTTTGCACTGGTCATAAATCTCTGTGACTGTGCTGTCATCTGAGTACCCAACAATACCTGGTAGAAGTAGGTCATTGATGTGCAGCTGGAAAAGAGTCACAGAGAAATCAGATCCCTGGATAAATCCGGCATTAATATGCATTATTAGTTCAGCAGAGCAGCCATCTATGACTATCCTGATCGACCGTTCACTTAGAAAGTCTGATATCCAATTACAAAATGTAGCGGAGATGCCGTAAGTAGGAAGCTCTCTCAAGACTTGCGTGCCAAACCCTATCATAGATAATTTTCTCAGTTTATTTCTAATTTAGAATTTGAGGTATTTACAAAGAGTTATAAGTATTTTCATTTTCTAAACATTTGTAATTAATTCACTGATCAGTAATATTTATTACAGCGTTTTACTTATTTTCATATTATAAAAGTATTTGGATTGTATAATTCTTACACATTCAAACTGTTGCTAGGTTCAGTTTTGATAGGTAGTAGGGATATGCTACTACCATTGTGTGATATTATTTAAACGATTGCAGTAATTATTGACTGGCTATTAGAGTTGTGAACTAGTAAAGTGAACAACAAGTAATCAAGCGGACAACAAGTAATCAAACCTTTCATGCGGCTCCTATAATAATAGAAATAAAGCAAATTGTTAAATAATTAAAATTGATGTGTGATTCATCATCAAAATATTCATTAAAATTATAATATATTTTTATAATAAGCATTTTCTTAAGTACTATTTTAAATTTACGACACTGGAGGACTTTTATCGTATTAGGTGAATAGTTATTAACCCTTATCCTCTCAACTGCGGATGTCCAAGACTTGGACACGAAAATATCTCCGTTGACTGCGGGCGTCCAAGTGTTAGACATTTTTTACCAGATCTTTTAATGAAGAAATAAAGCATTATGCGCTATTTCTAACTCATTCTACCATATGTCAATGTGTACAGGATAAAAAAGGTTAGCATAAAAACCCCACAGCTTATACACTTTAGTAGTATATTTTATTTAAACCAGTCGTCCGTCCCTTGAGTCAGCCATCAGTGTGATTGACGCGCGCTAATAACGAAGTTGTTTGTAATTATTTTGTATCAATTTATATTTATTGTGTGGTGAATTGTGTTAAAACAATGCCTGGGTAAGTAACCTTCTTATTTGTAATCTCATTTTGTGTTTTATCTTATTAAGTACGTGTAAAATCGTTTTTTAAAATGTATGAAGCAAACTGCTATCTTAGAACTAACATGCTGGTTGAGGAAAGTTGACTTGAAATGTACGTAAAATTTTAGTATTGACTGTCAGTTTTGTGTTAAAATATGTGTAATTGTTCATCGTTCATAGTTTTAGTACATCAAAATGAGGATAAAGTGCAATATTTTCAAAATTTTAATGTAAATACGCAATAGGCGCAATAGTGTCCATTTCTGAGACGTCCGCAGTAGTGAATTCTAGTTCTCTGTTTTGCGGGTGGCGGAAAAGGAACTAATTGCCATACTGCATCAAGTTCAAATTCGGTTGAATGGTTAGAATGGTAAAGAATCTAGCGCCCTCGAACAGAGAAATGGAGCTTTGTTGACTCCACGATTATTCGATGATTTATGAAAAATTGAATGTGGCATTTGGATATGTCATGTATGTTAACACAAGACTTTTTTAAACATATTATTAAAACAGAAAATTAGAAAGTATTTACATATGCTTTTTAATATTTTTATTTTAATATTTTTTAATATTTAATATTTGAAATTTTTATTTTTTTAATTTAATATGAACAGGTTGTGGTTTTTAAGGTCACCTCAGACACATATTTCTTATATTGTTTTTTTTAATGTACATTTTATCTGTATGCACTTTCCAAAATTCGTAATTCAAAAAGAATTAAAAAAAGTTTTTTTCGTTTATGTGTAAGTCTACTTTTTTTAAATACAAATAAAGCGGCCAAGAGCGTGTAGGGCCACGCTCAATGTAGGGTTCCGTAGTTTTTCGTCCGTCACAGTAAGTGTTCCCACTTATGAGTTTGTACAAAAACTGTTGTTTCCATCCAAGTTCAAAATAATTTTCCTAGAAAGTCCTTATAAAGTTCTACTTTCCAGATTTTTTTCATATTTTCTAAACTTATGGTTCAAAAGTTAGAGGGGGGGACACATTGTTTTTTACTTTTGGAGCGATTATTTCCGAAATTATTGACATTATCAAAAAATGATTTTAGTAAACCCCTATTCATTTTTAAATACCTTTCCAACAATATATCACACGTTAGGGTTGAAATTAAAAAAAAAAATCACTTCCCACTTTAAATATAGGGGGGGCTACCCTAATAAAACATTTTTTTCCAATTTTTGTTTTACCACTTTGTCGGCGTGATTGATACACATATTGGTACCAAATTTCAGCTTTCTAGTGCTAACGGTCACAGAGATTAAGCGAGGACGGACAGACGGACAGACAGACATGGCGAAACTATAAGGGTTCCTAGTTGACTACGGAACCCTAAAAAACCTGCTTTTTTATCTTGTGTTTTGTTTTGCACATGCTTTGGCTTAGTTTTGCAAATGTTTTCTGCTTTAGAGGTGTACGTACACGAGGTGGTGGAGTAGGACGCAGGGGAAGAGGAGTTCGCACCCGTGGTGGCACGCGGCAACGGCCGCAAGTCTCAGACGAGTAATTTCTTTATTTTTATTATTTTCTTTATTTTTTATTATTTTATCTATTTTTTATTTATGTTATTAATAATATTCTCTTTATTTTATGGCAGCGTTAATATTGGTGTGGTTGAAGAGCTGCCAACCGGCAGCCCCCTCGTAGTGCCAGGTGGCACAACACATAGGGGTAGAGGGGTTCCGCACCCGTGGTGGCACGCGGCAACGGCCGCAAGTCTCAGACGAGTAATTTCCTTATTTTTATTCTTTTACCTATTTTTTTATTATTTATATTTTAATAATATTCTGTTTATTTTATGGCAGCATTCACCTAGGTTTGATTGAGGAGCTGACAGCTGGCAGTCCTCTCGAGGTGGCTCTGCACCCGCCAAAGCGGCGAAGATATCTGCCACATACTGCTGGAGCTAGAACGTCAGGGTAAGTAAAACTCTTTTACCTGTTTCAAGTTGGTATTATTCTTGTGAACTCAAATGTATTTTATTGTTATAACAGTATATGGCAACCAACTGCTTCAGACATGGGAGGTGACGACGCGAGAGGAGACGTCGCGGGACGCAATGACACGGGAGGCGATGACGCTGATATTCAGCGGGGATTTCAGTAAGTAGCTACTTGTGATAGGTACTGTGTTATGAACTGAGTGCTCGTATATTATTATGCTCAATTGTATATCTTTGTTATAGCAGAAGCACTTCTCTGTGCGTAGATAATCTACCTTCATCGAGCGTGTAAGTAAAATAAAAAAGATTGATTCAAGGCAAATGTATTTTTCAGGCAATAAATATATTTATATTATTTCAGTTATGTTGAATGTTCGTCACCGTTTACGCCAGATACGCGGGTGTTGCATGGTCACCATCGTCGGCTTCTCGATAGTGAAATCGGTGACATCCTCAATTACGGTTGGTAATTTTTATCACACACCAGGTATTCATATTTTTAATGTATAGTTTAGTAGCTGACAATTGTTTGTTTCTCCGTAGGGAGCGAAGACGAAGAAGATTCAGAGGAGCGCGAAGGTGACAACAGTGAGCTCACGCTTCCCCGCGCATTGCGGATGTTCTTTGAGCCGGAAGATGACACGCTCGAGGAAGCAAAAGCGGCTGGGCACATTGATGTGCTTCAGTTCCATCCCACCCCTGAACCCTCACAGGTGGACCCTGGTGAACCTCATGGCCCCTTTAGCTTATTTGATTTTAGCTGGAGGAGTTACCCCAGAGATCCACTTTCACCCGCTGAGCGTCGGGAACTATTTGTAGGTCACAGTGGCCCCACGATTGAACGTACAACAAATCCTTATGATATATTCACAAAGATTTGGGATAGATCAATCATGGGGCACATTGTTACCCAAACCAATTTGTACGCCCAGGAGCACGCGGCCAATTTATTAAGTTTAGGGCTAATGGGACCGCGCAGCCGTATCTCTGAATGGGTTGAGACAAACATAGATGAGATGTATATATATTTTGCAATAATATTAGCAATGGGGGTTCTTTTTAAATCCAAAATGGAGGAATATTGGTGTAAGGAGGGCAATATTTTCACAACACCATATTTCTCGTGTTATATGTCGCTTAATAGATTTCAATTACTAAATAGGTGTATTCATTTCAACGATAATACACTTTTAACGCCGGATCTATCGCCAAAAGAGGCAAAATTATTCAAAATAGCACCACTTGTAGCTCACTTGAATTGCAAATTTTCTGTTTTATTTAACCTCTACCAAAACGTCGTGCTAGATGAGTCACTTACTCAATGGAAGGGGTTACTTAATATTAAACAATATATTCCAAACAAAAAGTTGGCGGTAGGGATTAAGACCTATGAGGTGTGTGACTCCCGCACGGGCTATTTGTGGAGGTTTGAAGTACATACGGGTGCTGAGGTTCTATCTTCGGATAGTGAAGGGATAATTGTAGGGGGTATCCCAAATTTAGTATTACGATTGTTGGGCGGCCTTGAACACAGTGGTCGTACCATATGGATGGACAACTATTATAACTCCCCTTCTTTAGCCCGTGTCTTAAAAACGCTTGGTCTCGACTGCGTCGGGACTTTGCGGACCAACCGGCAATTTGTACCTAATGAAATTGTCGCTTTAAAGAAGGGGAACATGAGAATTGGACAGGTGAGTGGCTGTACATCTGGAGACGTCGACCTGATGGTGTGGCGAGGTCAGAACCGGGTGGCAATGATTTCGACATACCATGGGGTCGCTGTCGCCGATGGTAAGCCCACGGTAGTCAAAGATTATAACGTTTGCATGGGTGGCGTGGATCGCAAAGATCAAATGTTATCTACGTACCCTATAGAAAGAAAACGGACGCAAGTGTGGTACAAAAAATTCTTTAAAAGGCTTTTGAATGTAAGTGTTTTAAATGCTTACATAATCTGTAAGTCCTTTGATGAAAAGGTCGACCATAGGGGTTTTAGGACGGAACTAATTCTCAATATCTTACAAAAACATAGTAGTCCACCTCACCAAAGCGCCGCTGAACTTAGACTTTCGCAGCAATCTCTCGCTGGGCCAAAACTAACACCTGATGTGTTAGCTCACTTCCCGTCAGTGCTCCCAACTCTACCTGGCGGAGTGGGCAGACAAAAACGCAATTGCGCTTTTTGCAAAAAGCGTACGTATCACTTTTGCAAATCGTGTAACGTTGCGTTATGTTTCAACCCAGAGCAAGATTGTTGCTACCTACAGTACCATTCGTAAATGAATAGTACTGTAGATACAGTAAATCCAACAAGTACCAGGAGCCTTTTTCCATTTTTCCATTTCCATCCATTTAGTTTTTATTGTTGCCTAGCTATAATTTGTTCAGCTAATTATTTCAGACTATCATCGTCGAAATTGTTAAGTTAGTTAAGTTACACAGCCTATTTCCGTCCCACTGCTGGGCCTTCCCTCACTTCTGAAAGGGTTTTAGGGCAAAGAAGTGTGCGCCGCGCTGCCCATATGCGTGTTAGTGAACTGCACATGCCTTGGAAATATTTTTTTTTATTTCTCAGACAGTCAGACTTCCTCATGATGTTTTCCTTCACCGCCGAGCAAGAGGTAAATCAGCACTTAAATTGCAATTAATAATTTCATTGATGCCAGCGGGGATCGAACCCGGTGTATTAGCGTACTGTGAAATTTACAGCAAGAGCTAACCATCTGAGCTACCACGGCTCTTCTGAGCTACCACGACTCTCATCGTTGAAATGAATACACCTCTTTATTTTGTATTTTTTTTTTCTATAGGATAAGGTGACAAACAAGCACGCAGTCCACCTGTGGTGGTTGCTGCGGCCTATAGATACCTACATCTATCCTCGATTACAAATCAAAATGCAGATGCGTGTCACCCGTGAGGACTAAGATGGAACGCCTCGTTTCCAGTAAAAAGGTTCTCCGGTTCTCTACGCTCACCATACGAAACACAGAAGCATTAAGCTATTATTTCACGCTGGTATTCGGTGAGAGCGTGGTCCTTCCCCGGTCGAGCCGGCCTATTCGTGCTACAACTGTACTATTAAATAAGAAGTGGGTTCTTTAAAAATATATATAAATAATATTTTTTTTTTATTTCCGGAAGGGATATATTTATTTTAAATTTTATTATTTCGTAGCTATTATTTGTGTTAAAGGAGATATGTTACCTTTTGGAGAAATAATGTTGTTGGTTATTGGAAATGTAACATAACCGCTGCGCACCTCGCGGTGCCTCTGAACGCCTTTGTCACTCGACACATTATGGTTCATTGGGTCTTGTTTACAAAAAACGTTATTTATAACTCTACATCAGCGGGAGTGACCCTTGAGTGGTTTTATGGTTTTTAAAGGAATGAATCATCGATCACTAATAAAGAACTAGATGCACAATCCCATACAAAAGTTCTCTAAAATCTGTCTCCAATTGTTGTGACGTAACTCCAGTTGAAATAAATATACATTTATGTAAATTCAACCTTAAATATATACTATAGCCTATAGTTGTATTCACAAAGATACGTACGAAAAGCAATAAATTTTTATGACATACTGGCTGGTCAACCTATATCAAAACAAATTCAACCTTACACGCATGTTTTAAAGTCAGAATTACAAAGTGCTAATAAAAAGCAATCAAATTTTAAGACCGAGACTCGTAGTTTAGACAAGAAATCATTGGAATCGAACTGTCCAATATTTTTGTTACTGTTATTTTAATTTTAAAATGTTTCAAACTTGTTTTAAAAACTGGTGTACATAAAGCATATTCTATTCTATTCTATGATGCATCATGTTTAATGGTTATAATTTACCTGAATGTAAATACGTATTTGGATAGGACACCAGAATCATTTAGTAACGAAAGTACTTGAAACAGTCATAATTATTTATTTATTCTTCATCTTGTATCAAAAATTTAAAAATATTGCTTGACAAAGAATTTAATTTTAAATTCAATAGTTACTAAATATAAAAAGTATGTACAGAAAGTTGCAAGTCGTAGTCACATATTCGTCACTTTCTAAAACATGCTTCGAACATACAACGCTTCCTTGGGTCGGCTTGAAGAATTCTTCGGACCTTTGACATGCTATGACTGATATCCATTTTGCACACCTGACTGGATCTCGAGGAAAGCTGAAAAATTTAAAATTAAATCTCATATCTTTAATTTTACCACATGCACATATATATAGTATTTGGAGAAACTATAAAGAAGTCTCATTAAACAAAAAAATCATAGTTTAATAATAAAAAATAATAACGTCTCCAACAAATGGAACAGAGTCAAACAATTATGACTTATTTTATTAAGACTTAATTTAAAAAAATGTTTTATGGAGATTTCTTGACAAAATATAAGTATTTACAATAGAGTAATAACGATTAAATAATGATAATATTAATACGTACCGAAATTAGGAAACTCCATCATTTTTTAGCGTCCTGGATGTGTGATTTTTACACTCTTTAAACGAGCACCGAGGCATGTTTACCGTCGGAGCGTTCGAATGTAACTAGATTAAAAGCGCACCCAAATGTTCGAATAGGTGCTCATTCGGTGAGGTCATTTTTTGTCACTGTGTATCTAGTTTTATATTAGTGATCGATGGAATGAATGAATCTTTATTTCTGTACAAGTAATTAATTTTTCAATAAATATGTCGCTTACGACTAAAATTTTGATATCGGCATTAAGAGTACTTATGAAATACCTTATGAGATTTCTAAAACTTAGCAAGACTTTTCTATTTAGCTTTTCTAAAACTTGGAAGATGACCGAATCATGTAAAGAAAAAGAGAGGTTCAAGACTGAATCATTATAATGAATTAAAAAAAAAACTATTTTTATTGACTAATGCATTACGCCGCATTATGCCGGATCTGGTCCGAACTACATTCTACATCGGTGTAAGTTGATTGCAGGTTCTTGTAAGCTTATTATTATTGCGTTTTATGATAAAAAATTGTATTGTAGCCTATGATTTTGCACATAAAATATTGTAAACAATAGACGTAAGATTAAAATAAAATAAAATTGAACTATTAAAAAACTTTGTTTCATTGAGAAATATGATAGTTTTGACTTTATTCAATATTTAGTTATACTAATTACTTTAAAACTTTATTAAATATATGTACTCGTTTATAGGAAATTTCATAGAGAATTCAGAAATGTATACATATTATAGTATTCGATATACCAAAATCAAGATATTTGCGTTTAAACGGATTGGGCCCAATCAGCCGTCCATTTTATTAAACAGCTTCCGCAGTCAACGGAGTATGACGGTTAGTCTCCGCAGCTGAAATGGTTATAGTCATGTCTAGTAACTAGTGGGCAAAAACAGGATACAGGCATTATCATTTGTCTAAACTGCCTGCCGGCTAATATACAGTGTGTAAGTGTAAACACCGTTGTCACTGAAACCATAGGTGGTTGGCTTTAATATAAAAATATTTATCCGATTTTTAAAAAAAAACGCTATTTTCTTTTATAAAATTAAAAAAGTTTCTGTCCGACACCGTCCGTAAATTCATGGATACCCTATGCGCTCGAGTGACGTAATCACTGTAAAGATCACCGCCCGCCCTTGCTACCTACACAACATTTCAATATAAACACAATGGTACACATAACCTATCATGAAACTTTTCCTTCATACTTTCACACTTGCTTAGGACAGATAAAAATTCCTACCCTTTGTGTTGCGTGACGAGTCCAAATTAATGTAAGTTAGATTTAACAACAAAGAAAATTAAACATTAATAATAGTAAATAATAAATCATTAGATAGGATTTTTGGCGTATTTACCGTATACCGTACCGCGGCCCTGGAACGCAAAGGGCATTTGAAGCATAAGCTGACCGTTCATTTTACGGAAAGATCATACAAAGTGAGGCCAAGACAAAGGATTTGTACAGCTTGATGTGTAGCCTGATTGATTGGTTATTTACACTTACCTATTAAATAAAATCCTCGTAAATGAATTCCATTTTGATCAGCTTTTACATTAATCGTAAAAGCTAGAAGCACAACAGTGTCATTTCTCTAAATACACTAAGAATTCGCCTTTTGAGTTCGGACGTATTACGGAACTTAGTTGCATACACTCGGCGCTTCACTTCTCCCCAAAAATAAAAGTCCAGCGGGGTAAGGTCGGTTCATCGCCCAGGAAACTCCTCAACCAGCATAGCACTGATTTGCAGCTGAAAATGTGCAGGGGCACCGTCATGTTGGTAGTAGAGGTTTCTCAGTGAACGAAGAGGCACATTTCCACTGCACCTTTATGTAGGACATAATTACAAATTAAATACAATCGCACCAAAACTACAACCTAACGCGACGTAGAATGTCGGCACTGCGCGGCGTGGTTTTAAATCAAATTAACACGTACATTCCGTACCGTCGCAGCGAAGGTGACTGACACACTGACACAGTGACATTGGCCTTGACTGCGAATCGCTGCCGCTACCTACGATATGTTGAGTTTTTTGTTGTGAATTCTGTAGGTCCTACTTGCCTAGGGTGAAATAATTTTAAGAAAAAATTGAGATTTGACTAAAAAAAATGTTGTTATTTTTCATTGAAATTACTTTCTATAAGTGAAACCAAACCACTGGTTTCAAGGACAACGGTGTTTACACTAACAACCTGTATATATATAATAATAATAATGATTGTCAGCATTGAGCACTTTGTTTGTAACCATGTAGTCACAGAGTGGAATAAACTGGCAGAACACCTAGTCTCAGCCAAACATGTAAATCGATTCAAAAATATATTAGGTCATCATTTCCTGAATTGCAAAAGGAGTAACTAGTAGATATGTGTCATTCATTCATTGCTAGTGACCCAATCATTCAAGTATCTGTCAATTCGGTCGATCATTAAAATGGATCATTTCGAGTTTTCAGTTCTCTGTGAGATCCGCTCGATAATGTCGGTCGTCGGACATTACTATACTCTTTGGGCGTAGATCCTGTTAATCGTTTGATCCAGAATGTTAAGAAAATGTAATTACAATCATCAATACTTTTATGCCACCCGGGTCAAGTGAACGAATCATTCACGATTGACACATGTTTAGTAACTAGTGGGTATAAACAGGATACAGGCATTATCAGTTGTCCAAACTGCCTGCCTGCTATTATAATATTAATAATAATAATGATTGTCGTTTACGTTTTTGAAATGATTATTTTCAAGTACCGGACCACTGCCCGAGGACCAAATATATCCGTTTATAGTAAAAACTCACAAACCTAAGGATCCCATGGAACAAAAACTGGACTCGAATCTATACGACTCATTCGAGAGAAACCCATATATAACTGAGTATATGAACGACGAGGACATGTTAGCTCACAGGTGAGTTTTAAATTAGTCTATTTAAAAGCATTTCAGTGATGGAACACGCAATAGAGATATTCACAGTAGAGCCCGAGTATGTAGCTCGAAGAATAGATAGCTGATGGGAGCGAAAGGTTGTTAAGTGGCAGTCATACACCATTACCATTACAGCATATGAAAGTCCACTGCTAAAAATAGACCCCCCCATAAATTACCTCATAGGGGGATATTTACTATAGTTGCCATGCTTGGCCAGCGGATTGGCAACTGTAGTTTTTTATTTTTAGTCGTTGTTAGTAGCTCCTGCCTCATTTGTTTTCCTTTGTCGCTCTTACGACACCCAGGTGATGATGTTGGGTCATAGAATACTATAATACATACGTAATAGAACGGGAGAGTGGGCGGAGCCCGTGTAGCCACTAAAATGCCACTAACACGTCAATTTACACGAATAAATCTCAACACGAGATGTGTTTTGACGTTACAATCGTTTCCAAATTTCGCATGCAAATGATTTAGAAAATGCCAAATTGCACGCTATTTACAAATAAATATGTATTAAAATCTGTCTGTCAACACGGCGAATCGGGTTTGTAGTAGTGATTAACTGATAATACGACGTAATTGCTTGTATGTGTTCTCCCGGCGACGCCAATCCTCGTACAAAATAAGGTTGACAGCCATTCTATTGTGTATTATAGTATTCTATGTGTTGGGTAGTGGATATTCTTTCTCACGTTACATATGTAATAGTAATATGTCTTAGCAATATGTGTAATATGTAATGAGTCATATCAATGCCGGCTGGGCAGCGTTCCGGAAATCATGAAACATCTCGTCAACTATACCTCAAAACCTGACAATGACTGTACAACCACTGCATGTTGCCAGTGATGACTTATGGAACTCATACGTGGTCCTTCACTGCTGGCCGTATGAGGATACTCAAGGTCGCTCAGCGAGCTATGGAGATGGCTATGGTCTGGGTTTCTCCGCGTGATAAACTTAGAAATGAGGATAATATACGCAGTAGAACCAGAGTAACCAACATAGCCTCTCGTCAGTCCAAAACCTTCTAAAGGTTGCTGTCAAAAAGTACGCATCTGTCCACAACCATCAGAAGGTTGCTGTTTACTTATAAACTTCAGATTCGAAACAGCCCTAGTAAAAGTATACGTATCTCCCTATAACTAGTACAACATGCAGAGAATTAAACAAAGATGGCAATTAATATCACATACGCTTCATATATGAACCATAGAAGCTTTGAAATAGTAATACATTTATTCCGTTCAGTTGCTCGTTCTGTGACGCGGTGTCGTGTGTTTACGTGCAAAGTATTAATTGTTGAAAGTGATTTCGGAAGTTAATATTAAAGATAAACATGAATGGGTAAGTCATAAATACTTTTTTATTAATTTAAAACATATTAGATGACGATTTGTACATAAATTATTCCATTTTATCAAACATTGCTTGCCATTTCGACCGCCATGTTGATACCATGTTCGTATTAATTTCAATTGTTTTAAATTAAAAGTACAATTGTGAATGGTAAACATTGTTTTAGTATCGTTAACATACATATTTACAAACATAACAATAATTACAATTGTATAGTTTCGATTAAATCTTTCATAAAACTAAAAATAACAAATTGCTTAAATATCGCGTCCACCTAGCGGGCGCGGACAGACATGGGTCGTAAAGTTATTGACATGAAATCCGCCATCTTAGAGAGCAGGTTGTATAGTATGGATACGATTTTGGGAATGCCAGTGTTGGTATATTTTTGCGATAATTTTTGGTGTGGATTTTTATTTGTTTTTCTTATTTGTTTTGTTTTATTTTTTGTCAGTAAATTGTTTTACTTTTTGTATGTGCATGTCATTATATTTTTTTGTACTTGATTGACAAGTGAAACAAGACGACCGAGGACTCGCGGTCCGCGACGCGGTAGAGGTGTGCGAGTCCGCGGTGGGAGAATGTCGGCAGCGGCGGTAGGTTTGCTGGTGGAAGTGGTGGCTGAACCTGAGGTGGTGGTAGCGCGTGGTTGCGGAGGCCGTGGTGGAAGACCTCGAGGGCACCGTATACCAGACAACGGTCGCCCGGGGCCGAGAACAATTAACGAGTTAGCTTGCTTTTTTACTATTTTTTATTTTATAAAATATTTATTTGTTATTTTATTAATGTTTAATGTCTTTTTCGGAATAATGTTGGGCTTGATATTTTTAGATTAACAATCAATTTTATCGATGAGATGCTCATGGGGCAGGCCCTCGAGACCCCGAGAGTTTTCGTATTTAAGTATGTTGCTATAATGGTTTTAATACTAGCTAGTTTTAATTTTTAATTTAAAATATTACAGGGTCGACCAGAGTGTCTCAGCCTCGGTAGTAGTGCCACGCCCACTATCTTTGATTGCCTCGTCAAGCTCGGCGGCACCGTCACCGCTGTAAGTTTTCGTACTTAAGTATGTTGCTATTATGGTTGTAGTACTAGCAAGTTTTAACTTTTAATTTAAAATATTAATACAGGGCCGACCAGGCTGCCTCAGCCCCGGGTATAGTGCTACGCCCAGCCCTGACACCGTCTCCCGCTATATCGTATTTGGTGCCTTCATCAGCTGTGTAAGTTACTTATTATTTTTCTATTTGTTTCAAAAGGAACTCACAGTCTTTGTTTTTAGATTGTGGAAACATGTACTTAAAAAAGCTTTTGTTGTAGATTTGCTGAACGTGAAGGCTCAGCGGTGAATACGCCTTCCACCTCAACAGGCTCGGTAGTGCGTCGCCGTCGTCCTCGCCCCCGTCGGATCTTGGAAGATGACGATATCATATTAGCCATCAATTGTGGTAAGCAACCCTAAATTTCAGGACAGGCTAAAAGTAACGTTTCGTCTCTCGTAGATGTCGACTATAGCTATCTTCAATTTGTTATAGGTAGCGAACCAAGCTCCGAGGAGAGCGAGAACGAGGAAATGGCCGTACCATTCGTGCCCCGCACAATCCGCAGTCTTCTAGAGACACCTACGTATGAAGTGGAAGAGCTGACTGCTGAGCCTATCACACAATCTATCTCGGAGCCCGCCGCTGAGCCTGAAATAAGCGTGCCCGCTCCAATGGCGACGGACCAGCCGTGGAGCTTTTTTGATTTTAAGTGGGAAGCGTTCCCTACCGTTCCGATTCCTCCTGAATCGAGACGAGAACGCTTCTTGCAAAATAATGTTGGTCCGGCAACTCCATGTGTCGATCCATATGATATTTTCATTACCATATGGGATCGACAAATTATGGAGCACATTGTCTCGGAGACTAATAAATATGTTCAGCAGTTGGCAAACCAATTAATGGAGCATAACAAACTCCATCCCAATAGTCGCATTAATCGTTGGTACGACACCTGTGTCGACGAATTATATGTCTTTTTCGGCATGATTATTGCGATGGGGGTTGTTATTAAGTCCAGGTTAGAAGAATATTGGTGTTCCACTCAAGACGTATTTATTACACCTGGCTTTGCAGCACACATATCATACAATCGCTTCATATTGTTATCAAAATGCTTACACTTCAACGATAATGATGACATGTGTGCTGTAGAGCGGGAATACTCCGAGGCCAAATTGTTCAAAATTAAACCATTGCTGACATATTTGAATATGAAATTCGAAAGTATGTACAATTTGGATCAAAACATTTCTTTAGATGAATCTCTTCTGATGTGGAAAGGTTGGTTAGATATTAACCAATTAGTTCCCAACAAAGCTGCTACGATGGGGATTAAGACTTATGAGGTCTGTGAATCTCGAACCGGCTATTTATGGCGGTTTGAAATTCACGCTCATAAGAAGTCTCCACCGCAGCAGTCAGAAGACATATTATCCGCGTTCACCCCTGCCACTGTCTTAAGACTTTTACATGGTCTTGAGAACAAGGGTCATACGGTGTGGATGGACAATTTTTATAATTCGCCTTCATTGGCGCGGCGCATGAAGTCATTAGGCTTTGATTGTGTGGGCACCCTGCGGACCAACCGTAAGTTTGTTCCACAGGCCCTTCACAGTCTAACTAAGGGCAACATGCGGCCAGGCCAGCTTACTGGTCTTACCGCCGGAGATGTCGATGTCATGGTATGGAGAGATAGCAACCGGGTTGCTATGATATCCACATACCATGGAAACGCCGTCTCTAGTGACGGTCACTCCATCAAACCCATCCTGATTTTGGACTACAATATCATGATGGGTGGGGTGGACAGAAAAGACCAAATGCTGGTGATGTACCCAATAGAGCGAAAGAGAACGAGCATCTGGTACAAGAAATTATTTAAGAGGCTGTTGAATGTATCTGTATTGAATTCATTTATAATTCATAAAAAATCTGCTGCTTCTCTCGCCTCTCCTCCTCTTACACACCGCTCTTTCCGTGTTTCCTTAGTAAAAGCTCTTCTATCCAAACACGCTATTAAAAATAAACTTCCGCTTCCCCTGCCCACTCCCACACAGATCGTGCGAGTCGATGTAACCCACCGCATTTCCGAGCACCCACGCGTTGCTAAGCAACGACTGCGCCGGCAGTGTGTTAAATGTAAAAAAAGGGTACACACGTTCTGTGTGGGTTGCAACACATCTGTATGTATAGCACCTTGCTTCCTTCAACTTCACTCATAAAATATTATATTTATTTGCCATCATCATTATTAATATTATCATCATCATCATTCATCAACAGCCCCTAAGTAGTTTTTCGTCGCACCCTCGTTCTTTAACTATACAGTAAGGCCGCCTAACTGTAATTTGTAATTTGCTTTGTGTTTTTGGTACTTTATTTGTAATTTGACCTGCATTTTTTTATTTGTGTACGTATTTTTTCGAATTTCATGTTCAAATGTTTCAGCAATGGTTTTTTATTTTTATTTTAAATTTGAGAATCTGTCAGAATAAGAAATTTACTATTTGTCCAAGGTTGTTTAAAAGAGATTGCTATTGTGCCAACTAACTGTAATTTCTATTTTATGATTAATGTTTTCACTCTTAGCCCAAGGTTATCTGGAAGAGATTGCTTTTTGTACGTAGTAGTTTTTACTGCTAAGCAATAAGCCTTAGCTCGTTGCGGTGCTATAGTTGGAATAGCCTCAAAGTACGAAACGGTCACCCATCCAGTTGCAAGCTAACGCGTGCATTGCTTAACCTTTGTTATGGATCTCGCACGCAAGCTATCACTAGGCTAGGGTCACTTCAAATTAAGTAAAATTAAAAAAAAAATCATATATAAAACATATATAAACACTCACGTCTGTCACCCAGAGGGGTAGGCAGAGACTACAGACTTCCATTTGTCACGATTCTGACACACCTCTCTCGCCTCCTTCACATCCATACACCTACGCATACATGCTCGTCGGTTAAGGGTACTCCTAATTTGGCCCGTTTTCAATAAATCGCCAATTTGGTCGATAAATTTACGCCTAGGACATCTCTTTCCGACTCTGCCATTCACTTCTGCAACATAAATTTTCTTTATCACTCTTTCCTCATTCATTCTTTCCACATGACACAACCACCGAAAACAAATCAAAATAACAAAAATGAAAATCCTTTATTTTAGCAAAAAAGAATTGTCAAACATTTTTTATAATAATATTCGAATGTTAATTAAAAACATAAAAAAGCAATGAAAAATAACTAATTTGTATTTCATTTTAATTTTATATTCATGATTATAATTATTAAAGAAGTCACCACAGAGCGTATCCATACTAGCATAGCAGCGTACTACGTCATACTTGGTACTTTTTGTAGTGAATGTGTAACTTTTAGTTGTTGATTTCTAACATAATTTTGTATGAAAGATGCCTTCTTTGTTTTGTTTTTAACTTAGGAAATGTTATTAAATTTAGGAATATACATTCACATGTAAATAAATCACAAAATTGTTCCTTACAATTGCAAAAGTTTGAAAGCATTTTTTTAGGGTCACTTCTTCAAGTGTTTGTTACAACTCATTCATTTCTTAATAACTAAATAGTTGTAACATTTGAAACTGTTTATATTAAGAACAAAGACCAAACTATAGAATAAGTTAAGATTTAAAGCCCATTGTGCTTCAGGCGTCGTCGATATTGAAGTACAAAATGTGCCTTTTTTGTGCCTGTTTCGGTTCATCTTAAGTGGCCCACATTATTGTCGAGCTTGTGGCGTGAAAAAACTGTACGTAGAGTTGTGTTTTTTTTATTCATTATTTTCGTATAGTAAATGAAGTAAATATTTATTGAAATAATTGCTTAATTTTTTAATGATTACATTTTATATTCAACAAACTGGAAAAAAATCGCTTCTAGCAATTTTACCATCGAATTTATAACATACCAAAAGGGTGAACGTACACATTTACATATATTCTATTAGCTTATTTAACAATAATTCTAACAACATATCATATTATATAGTTTCCATACATAAATATTAAGATATTTCCATTTTAATGACACGCGCCACGTAGGCAATATATCACTCGTTTAGGGTTTGACAGATGCGCCTAAGCGGCTATTTTGGCCCGGACTGCTGAGAGGATATCCCAACGGATTAGTAAGCTGAAGTGGAAATGGGCCAGCCATATAGCTCGAAGAACCGACAACCGTTGGGGAAAAAAGGTTCTCGAGTGACAGCTTCGTACCGATAGGCGTAGTGTTGGGCAACCCCCCCCACTAGATGGAGTGAAGACCTGGTAAGACATGCAGGTGGCTCATGACCGTACTTTATGGCATTCCCTTGGGGGGCCTATGTTCAGCAGTGGACTTGTGAAGGGCTGTAATGATGATGATGATTATATTATAACTAGAGTGTAATACCAATATTCAATACGGAAATGTAAATAAGTGGTGGTACGAGTAAATGATTCAAATAACTAGATCATTGGCATTCAGATATTTTTAACATTGTGTTCGTTTCCGAGATATTATATACTAATACATACTCACAGATAATCTTTAGTTAAATGTAACTAAACCAACAAAAACAATATTTTATATAATTTAAAGCTAAGAGAATATCCTTAAATTGCAAGACACAGTCAAGTTTAAATTAAACACCTAGCTATCTGTATCGAGGGTGTTACCATTTGCTTGGTATTCTAAAATTATTAAAATTAAATCCCAACCCAACCAAACAACTGCAAGACTTCAAAGATACTATAATCTATGTAGAACAGACAAAAAGTTTATAATTTTAAACTGAAGGAGGGTTATTTAACTGAGACGAGGGGTATTTAAGATAAACTATTATACGTGATAAAATCCGTAGATACTAGTTTCATTAAATGTTTAGTGTTTGCGAATATACAGGCTGTTAGTGTAAACACCGTTGTCCTTGAAATCAGTGGTTTGGATTCACTTATAGAACGTAAATTCAATAAATCAAAAAAAGCGCTATTTTCTTTCATAAATTTAAAAAGTTTCTGTCCGAAACCGTCCGTAAATTCATGGATACCCTATGCGCCCGAGTGACGTAATCACTGTATAGATCACAGCCCGCGCTAGCTACCTACTCTACACAAACACAATAGGTACACATAATCTGTGATGTAACTTTTCCTTCATACTTTCATCCTTGCTTATGACAGGCAAAAATTGAGGAATTAAGGAAAAATTGAGATTTTACTAAAAAAATGTTATTTTTCATTGAATTTACGTTCTATAAGTGAAACCAAACCACTGGTTTCAAGGACAACGGTGTTTACACTAACACCCTGTATAAAGAATCGCAGTTAAGTTTATTTTTCATTTTTAGAGAAAAGTTGAAAGAAAAAATTCACTATGCCAGCGCAGAATATAGGTGCGACCTTTGTATATTAAGTTTTAACAGTCAAAAGCAGGTCGACAAACATCATGGACTGGTGCATAAAGCTGTAAGTACAATGTTTTTTAGTTTTTAAATAAAAATGATTCTTACTCTCATCAACCTATACATAATATACCATGGTCATACCATGGCTGGACGTGGGCTTTCCTAAGTTGGGAAGATTTACCGTAATATTTTACGTGTTAGAGGCATGTTGCAGCTATATTACGGTTGTAGCATGAATGGGTTGGCTCGGCCGGTGTAGGACCATGTACTCACAGAATACCAGCGTAAAATAGTAGCTGCTGTGTTTTCGTATGGTGAGTGTAGAGAACCGGAGACCCTTTTTACTGGAAATGAGGCATTCCATCTTAGTCCTCAGGGGTGATAACGCATCTACATTTTGGTTATTAATTGAAAATAAATGTAGATGTCTATGGAACACAGCATCCACTTACCATCAGGTGGACTGTGTGCTCGTTTGTACACTTAATCTTAAAAAATTATCCCGGTGATACATACATCACAGGTGATTGTAAGTTACATAAGCAGTTACCGTTACCAGTCAGTTCTAAATGTATTGTGTGGTTTACTCCAGACTAGGATTTAATCTCGTATTGTGGGGGCAGTTTACTTACATAAATGAGATGTTCCAAAAGGTATGGAGCCTGGGCCATGTCCTTGTACACTATACTCAAAAATAGAGAAACACATTTTAAACAATTCTTAACTGTTCAATTATTTGATAATTGCTTTGTTTGCTGGTAACGCACAGTGAAATTACACTTGAAATTGCAACACAACAAAAACCTGTCATGGCGGTAAGCTGTCATTTTTATTGATTAGTGACGTTTGACATGTTTATTTCACGTATTTTTGAGACTCTTGTGACAACTGACAGTTTTCTTTCTATGAATCAATGGTCGCTTTGTGGTTTATTGTCCGGTCATTGTAATTTGACGCGTAATCCGATTGGCAGCACTGTAATTTACAGTGTTGCGTGTTTCAATGTGTGTAGCGTTCCCGAAATGTAGGGACAGGTATTATGGAACGGGATATAAAAGCATGTATACACGTATCTCAACCACAAGGTGCGTGTTCAAACCTGGCGCCTAGAGTCAAATGCACTTAGCGCTAACAGTTAAGACTTAAAAACGCCTTTATTTCGTATGAGTAAGGGCATTCATTTTGTAATTTAACTGTTACTACTGAGGTGCTGATGACTATACTTATGTGACCTTTAAGTGTCATAGTGTACTCTCTGAAACAATTCATATATCAATAGGAACATTCAGGATAAATTAATTAAGACAGGGTTGAAAGAATCACTTTATATAATTACGATTAATAAGGTGTAAAGCGATCATATCTTCTCCAATGTTACTTGAATGCTCACTGTCACTATCATTTTCGTTACTATCACTGCCAACCCACAATAAAAAGCGATCACTTCCTTCATCTATTATTTTATTTTTCACTGTGTACTCATTTTCAATTTGTATAACATCTGAGCACTCTTTTTTCCAAAAATCATAGTTTATTTGGCCAAAAGTTTCTTTAATAAGTGATTCCACTTGATCATCTCTCTGGCCCACATTTTTCTCTGCGAACCGCCTCTTCATAACGCTCCATATTAGCTCAATTGGATTTAAATCCGCATGATGTGGTGGCAGCAGCAAAACATTATGACCATGTGATTTTATTAATTCGTCAGCTTTATATATGGGCTCTGGTTTATTTTTTTATAAATTCATAAAAAACATTTTTTGGCAAAGGGGGACGCCCATTTTCGGCCATGGAACGCCCAACAATGTGAATTTGTTAAAAAATTATATCTTTATTTATGGTTATTAATCGCGGTATTCATTTATCCTCAAACAATGGGAATATTTTTGCACAAATTAAAAGTACCGGAAACATAATAATAAAAATTAGGTAAATCATTATGTCATTAGTTTGTGAATAAAAAAAAAGTGTTGCCAATCACAAAACACATTTAAAAAATCGATTCTCTTTTTCGATCGATTATTTACGGTGTCATCATTACAGTGCTAATATAATTTTTAAATAATTATGATGTTACGATAATTAAACAAGCGAATTACTAGCTGATTTCTAATGAATTCTTTAGAGAGTAACAAATGCTACGGCACAATTTAACTGTTAATCTTAACCGATCTTCTTTGAAAACAGATAAGAACTGTTATTCTTATCTGTTTTTAAAGAAGATCGGTTAAGTTATTCTTATCTGTTTATAACAACACATTTAAAATAGAATCATGTTATGATAACGAAACAAGTTAGTTTCCAGCTGATTTACCATGAATCCTTTAACCTTTTGAGCGGCAAAGTCGCCTATACTTGACCAACACCTGCGGGCCCTGAGCGCCAACGACGTCTATAGTTGACAAAAAACCCGGCTCCGAAAAATATGAAATATAGATATTGGAAAATTATTACAGGTATTTTAATTCTACACTCCTCAAAATAGGAATAACCCAGCAACATGTGAGTATAAAAAACAAGTCTTCTAGAGCCACAAGTACTAAGAAACATTGAACTAATAAAAATGGATTTTTATCTAAGCAAATACTATGTCCAGCACGCCAAAGTCGTCTATGGTTGACCGCTAGTGTCAAACGCGGGAGGCATAGATTTCTTGAAAACTATCCAAAATTCAGCTCAATGGTGTTTTTTTTTCTATTATTATTGATATTTGAATAAAATTAAAGGTTATAAACATAAAACTATAATTAGCTACATGAATAAAAATCAAAATCATCTAACAGCATCAGCTATCATATCAAATCCCCATTGTCATAAGAGTGTAAGACTTTTCTTCTGTGCGTCACTTGGCCTACGCCTTCCCCGACACATAAAATATTATGAATCGATGTCTGTATATTTCGGTTAGATCGATTTTGAAATCGATACACAACATTCTAAGAATGTTTCAAAAGGGAAGGTCAGCTACGCCGTTGTCGTCCAGTCGCGACAGTGTCGTCATTAGGATGGAGAGTAGTGCTAATGTTTACTACTATTTTATTGTTATTGTTTGTTTTTTATTTATGTTTATATGTACAAAGTACATATATAAAAAAGAGTGGAAGACGGCACAAGATTAAATAAAACATACAGTTTATTAAGAGTCATTTATAGCATAAAAAACCAACAAAAACAAGTTATTTCACGTTATCGATATATCAACTCTTGGCAACGCTATTTTGTTTTGGCGCTTTGGCGTACAGGACACGGTAATGCGTTTTTGGCGTGGCGCTCAAAAGGTTAAAGCTTAACAAAACGCAACTGCACAATTTTTATCAATTTCAAGACAAAAACAACCGTTGTTATCGGCTTGGTTGAAAACGTTAACAACCGCCTTCACATCTGTAGTTATGATAATTAAATAAGCGATTTAATAGCTGATTTACAATGAATTCTATGCAGTATAACATAACGCTACTGCACAATATAACTGTTATTCTTATCTTTTCTTAACAATACATTTAAAATGAAATCATGTTACGATAATTAAACAAGTGAATTTCTAGCTGATATACCATGAATTTTTTAGAGCTTCATAAAACACTACTGCACAATTAACTGTTCTTAAAAATACACTTAAAATAGAATTTAAATAAAAAAGGAAGATACATTTTAAAAAGCGAGCAGAAGTTAAAACACCTCCAAGATTATTCTCTTTTTATGAAATTATTAATCGAATAATAATCGAATCGCTATGGATATTATGATGTTATGATAATTAAACAAGCGAATTACTAGCTGATTTACTATGAATTCTTTAGAGTACAATAAAATGCTACTGCACAATTTAACTGTTATTGTTATCTGTTTTAACAATACATTTAAAATGGAATCATGTTATGATAATTAAACAAGTGAATTTTTAGCTGATTTACCATGAACTGTTTAGAGCATAACAATACGCTACTCCACATTTTAACTGTTCTTAAAAATACGTTTAAAACATAATTTAAAAAAATAAAAGAAAATATATTTTAAAAAAGCGTGTAGAACTGAAAGCGAAACTCAAATATTATTATTTTTTCATTAAATTACTAATCGAATACAAATCGATATCGTTTCGTTGTATTTATGTTAGTTATGTGGCAACATCAAATCTGACAGCTATAGGAAATATGTCATGCGAAATGAAATCACAATTCAACAAGTAAAAAGGTACTAGTGAATTCACAACTAAATAGTTGCCATTGTGTTATTTTGTTTGTTATTTTTCAAATAAATTCTCAAGAACTCATATGGAGTGAGATTGTCGATCACATTATAGTGTGACAACAGTTAAAAGTAAGTGTTCAACAGTTTTTAATTTATTAATTCTAGTGCTGATATTTGATAGTGATGAATGTATGAAATGATGAAGTTGTTTTATTTTTTAACATATGCACAAGCTATACCTGACAAACAAAATAGCTTATTTGTAACACGGCGATAAGATTAGCTAGCTAACACCAGATAGTTACGAAATGGACAATTTTTATCAAATACCAAGAAATAAGACAGTCGATTTTTAATTGTTTTTGGACTACTGGTAGGCAGTCAGTCCTTAATTATTAAATAATATAGGGCATTAAGTTTTAAGTAACATTTACCTATATTTGAGTTTAAAGTAAACAAATCTATTTTATTTTGTTCACTTTGTCTTATTTTTTTTATTTAATATTATTTCAGTTGCCATCGTCATCGCGTGAGTGTCATGATTGCGAAGGATTGATAAAGCAGCAACACGTTAAACTTTAGAACGGGAACCATCTGAATCATCTAGTCCATCCTTGTAGCAATCTAAAGTGAGTAATGTATTGAACCTAGAACAACAAAGCTTAGATCATACATCATACAATATACTGCTGCCTAATTTTGTAAGAGCACCACTCACACAAAATCAATGTTTTTTCCTGGTTGTAACAATTCCAATCAACTCACTGTTCCATCAGCATTGCGGGTATGTATTTTTGTGAATACAATTACTATGTACCTCCAGAATGTAGAATCAGTAACTACCATTTAAATAGTAACTCTTGGTATTTA